TTTCAATGTAAAAGTCTTTTACTTCCTTTCTTAAATTGATTCCTAGGTATTCTCCTTTTTTTTGAATGCTATTATGAAAGGGTTGGGGTTTTTTTTCCTTAATTTTTCTGTTAGTGGAGTTGTGTACAGGAATGCTATTGATTTTTTCAGTGGTCTATTTTTTTAATTTTTTAATGTTTCCTTTATTTTTTTATTTTTTTATTTTTTAATGGTCAGCTCAGCCCACCCTGGGGGCGGGGCTGGCATGGCATGTGGTGCTGGGGATCGAACCGAGGTCCCTGCATGCTTGCCTAAGCAGGCGCTTTAGACCACTGAGCTATCTCACCAGCCCTCAGTGGTCTATTTTTAATATTGACTTTGTACCTTCCTATGATTCTGAACTTCTTTATTAAATCTAGATTCTGGGCCGGGGAGATGGCTCAGTAGAATAAGCACTTGCCTGGCAAGCACAAGGGCCTGAGTTCAATCCCCGGTTCTGCAAAAAATAAATAAATAAATCTAGATGTCTTTTGGTCACTTTTTGAAAGTCTTCTATGTAGATGATCATGGTATCCTCAGGTATTAGCTTAACTTCTTCCTTTCCTATCGTTACTTTTTTTTTTCTTTCTCTTGTCTAATTGCTCTGGCCAATAATCTTTGAACTGTATTGGACAAAAGTGATAGTGAACATCCTTGTCTTGTTCCTCATTTTAGAGTGAATTTTGTCCATTTAGTATGATGTTGGCTATTTGTTTATTATAGACAGCTTTTATCAGACTGAGATAAATACCATCTGTACCATAATGAATGGATTTTGCACTTTGTCATATGCTTTCTCTGCATGTATTAAAATGATCATGTGGGTTTTGTCCTTGACTCTGTTAACATGCTGTATCACATTTATTGATTTGCATTCATTGAACCATTCCTGCCTGCCTGAGGTGAATTCTATTTGGTCATGCTGTATAATCTTCTTGATCATTTGCTGCATTGTATTTGCCAGTATCTTATTCAGGATTTTTACATCTATGCTCATTAGGGAGATTGGCCAGTAGCTCTATTTTTTGGTTAGATCCTTCTCTGGTTTTGGTATCAGTAATGCTTCTTCCAGGAATGAATTTGTTTGTTTTGCAGAACCGAGGAAGAACCAAGGATTGAACTCAGGCCCCTGCGCTTGCCAGGCAAGCACTTATTCCACTGAGCTATGTCCCCAGCCCCTCCAGGAATGAATTTGGGAGTATTGCTTCCATGTCAGTTTCATTGAACAGTTTAACAAGTGGTGATGTTAGGTCTCATATTTTTTGTAGAATTCAGCAGTGAACCTGTTAGGGCCTGGACTT